ATATATATATATATATATATATATATATATATATATATATATATAACTTGCTTACTGAGACCTGCTTTCTGATTTAGCTAAACTTTTTCCAGCCTAGTGAAGTGCCCATTTTTTTTTAGGATATTGACTGGAAAACAGCAGTGAACACCACTATGAAAGCAGATTATTATTGTGGATCATGCAGGGAGAACAAAGGGAGAAATATTTAAGTATAGCACTGTTTGACTATATTTTCTGTGCAGTGAGGAAACCTGAAGTCATGTTCAAGTTCTACCATTTCTTGCTTTTTTTTTTCAGTTGGGTCAATTTTTAGACATTCTAAATCTCCATTTTCTGGCTAATGAAATGAAAAGAGGATTCTACCGAGTCTCCTCTCTACCTATTCCAGGACTTCTGTGAGGATCAAATGAGATGAGGCACAAGAAAACACTTCAAAGACATTTGGCTAAAGTGTAAAAGTTTGCACCTGGCTGTAAAGCAAGTGGGATGAAGAAACTGCAAGGAGGCTAGTCACTAGGGAGAGGAAGCCTGGCATCGCTATGTGACATCATTACCCGGTGCCCACAGCCATCATTTCCCTGCTGGGCTGGGCTGTGGGCTTAGTGCCATGGGGTGGTGGCGGGGCCTGTGTCCCACTTGGGGAAAGTGGAGTGTTGCTTGTAGTCTCGGGGAGCGCAGTGCCGTTTCTCTATAAATGGCCAGTTCACGTCACAGCAGCTCCAGTATTGGACGTCTGCCCCTGGTGTGGTCAGTGCTCATCATAGCAAGTGGTCAGATGGTGGAATCCTTAGCACATTAGCCTTTTATACATATAGATTTTGCAATAAGAACGGCAAAAACCGTTTTAAAAACATTTACTGTGGCTCATGTCTGAAGTTTATCAAATCTGAACCTTGACTGTAGATGTCAGCCTTCCAAAGAGGAATTCTTCAAATACAGCCTGAGCTGTGGACCCTGAGGCATCCTGCCTAGGAGCCTCTCTTCAGGGTCCCTGACCCGCCCCATCCCCTACCGAGCCTCCAACCCCTGCCCCATTATTTTTCCCAAGCAGACGCAGCATCTCCAAAGCCCAGTGTCTCATTCAGGAGCTTGTTGGAATTCAAGATGCATTTTTTTTTCCTTTTTCTTTTTTGTGCCTCCCGGAAACCGTTGGCCATGGCCCGGACGCGTCCTTTCCCCCACAACACCCCTTCATCGGGGCCCGGGACCTGGTCGCTGCCCGGCGGGACCCGCTACTGGGCGTCCGTCCCGTCACCCGGAGCCCGGGCCTGGGGCACCGCGGCCAGGGGAGTGGGCCCGGCCCCGGCCCGGAAGGAGAGACTCCCCGCCCCGCCCGGCGCCCTTACCTTGGAGTCGGGGTCCGCGGGGAGGGCGTCGCTGGTGGTGGCCAAGGCTTCGGGCTCCTGACAGAGCAGGCCGACCCTGCGCGGGCAGCAGCGCCGCGGGGTCCTGCGAGTCCTCGGCCTCCCCGGTGTCCAGGGACACAATATGCGTTTTGTTATTGGCGATGTTCGCTGCCCAGCCCATGCTGGCGGCGGCCGCTCTCCGGTCAGCAAACGGTCAGCAAACGGCCCGCCCGGAGCTCGCGGCCACCGCCAGCGCCGTGTCATCCCCGCCGGGGCGCGCGTTTCGGGCGGACGGCGGGAGCGCGGGTCTCAGGTCAGGAAGCGCGGCCGCCGCTTTTATCCCGGGGCGGCGGCGCGGAGGGGGCGCTGGGGCGGGGGCGCCGCGGACGCCCCGCCGAACATGCCCTCCCCCGGCGACCGGCCGCCCTCACATCGCCCGCTCGCCGGCCGCGCTGCGGGGAAACGCCGGGGAGGAGATTCGCGCTCTCCCCGCCTGGAGCCCCGTGGCGCCCGACACCTCGCGGCTCCGACCCCTCAAAGAAGCGCCCCAGCGGCCTGGCCGCGCCCGCCCTGAGGCCGGGGACTGAGGGGAGCCCGTCGGCGGCCGCCCGCTGAGAGGCAGGGAGCACGGATCCAGACGGCCCTGGCCTGCGCCCTGGAGAACCATAGACCAAGAATGCATTTTAAAGGTATTTCACAACCCAAAGCACATTTGAAGTTTCTCAAAGTTAAGTGGATGGTCACTGAACATGGATGCAAAATGCATTTTACACCCAAAAAAAGTTACTGAAATGTTTTTTAGAAGATTTTTTCTCATTATCAAAATATATAGGATTATTAGTAGAAATTTAAAAAGAATAGTATAAAGTAAAAGAAATCACTTCTTTCCACTATCCAAGGTTAACCACTGGCAACAATTCAAAGGATTTCCTTTTGTCTTTCGTACATCCATATATTCAGATACCTTTTTGAGGTGATACTATTAATTGATTATATTAATATATGTTGTATTGGCTTCAGAGAGGAAAGGAGAGGGTGAGAGAGGTAGTAACATGAATGATCAGAATCATTCATCAGCTGCATCCTACATGCCCCCTACTGGGGATGGAGCCCACAACCAGGGCATGTACCCTGACAGGGACTCCATGCATGACCTCCTGGTTCATAGATCAATGCTCAACCACTGAGCATGCCTCCAAGACAAGATGATACTATTTGTTATGTGTGTATTCTGACTTGTTTTCTCTTAGTTATGGTGTATTCACTCCACTGCATCTATAACCACTTTTTTCCCATTTATTAAGGCACTGTTTATTTTTCCCAGCTTTATTGAGAAATAATCAATATACACCACTGTATAAGTTTAAGGCAGACAGAACGACGGTTTGATTGACCTACATTGTGAAATGATTACCACAATGGGTTCAGCTAACATCTGTTGAAGATGTGACAAACCAAAATTGAAATTTCTAATGTATTGTGAGTTATTTTTTCTTCAAAGCCAAATCTGCAATTGTTACTATTGCCAAAAAGAGCTTGCACTTTGCACTAAAGTGCAGGGTGTGGTGGGTCTGCAGGCTGGGGCTCTACTGCCCTGGCCTCTTGCACTTGACCCCTGTGCCTGTTCACATGCAGTTCCTTTCTCCCCCCAGAGTTCACATGAGGCTGGGGATGGATGTGCTGCCCCTACTGGACAAGCTCCCCAGTCTGTCTTCCCACCACTGAGTGGCAGAGGTGAGAGCCCACACTGTAAGGCTGTGGGGCCTATAAAGTTCAGACCTCACTTGTGTCTCGGCGGGTCTGGTGGTGACCTCAGCATCAGTGTGCGCAGAGATAGTGATGGAAGGCAACGGCGATTCTCGGATGACCATCCTGGAGCCAGAGAGAAGGGAACCTGATTCTGGGTTGCATCACCTGAGAACTGCCTTCTCATAATCCAGGACCCCTCGGCAGATATAGGAGAGCCGGTTTTGGCCCGATTCCCTGAAGGCCTGGCCGAGGGACCTCACCTGCCAGAGGGAGCCCACTCACTCCACAGACACCCTTGGAGCCAAGGCGCTGCCCCAGGTGCAGCCTACTGGGAAAGGGATTGGGGGAGGTTGGCACTAGGGTGTGGGGGACCCCTCTCAGCCAGTCCCACCCCACTGGTCACTTTCTAATTAATTTCCTTTCAATGTGCACAGTCCATGCACCCAGTCTCTAGTAAAATATAATGATGTACTACTGAAATATCTTATGTCCATGTTCAATGCCATCATTTTGGCAGTTTGAACGTGGTGATGATGAGTATCTACACCAGGGAAACTTTCAACTACTACGAACCTAGACTTCATTTAATGCATCATGAAATGCTTAGACTTAAAGCACACTGGCGGAGAATGTTAACAATGCAGATTAAATGTATAAGTGTATGGTACAAGTGGGCTATAAATCGTACATAGGGTAAAAATTGAGAAAAACTATTTTGTTTATAGAATTCAAAAACCAAGAATTCCATATAGCGAAGAAGTCAGTCGAGTCACTGAAGAATGAGTGAAACTCAAACATATGTCGTAGAGGCTGCACTGCCCTTCTATTGGTTAGAATAGAATAATAAATTAACTTTAAAAGTAAACAAAAAATCCTGAGCAGACATTTTAACAAAGAAGATAAAGACAGCGAAAGAAATGCATGAAGAAATGATCACCATCAAACATTTTTACGGAAATGGAGTTAAAACAAAAGTGAGTTAACAGTACACTCATAAGTGATTGACCATTTTAGGTCACAGTTCCATATGTTGAAATGTACCACATTCACTGACACTGGAACAGTTTGATAAGTACGACATACACCTGTAGAAAGAATGGAATACAATATTCCAAACTGTTTTATTTACAAAACAACAAAAGTAGAAATAACTGAAATCATAGGCAGCTCAATAGTTAAAGTGATTATCCATAGAATACAATATTTTCTAAAAATAAAAAATTCACTATTTATATAAATGTTTGTGTTGAATCTCAAACTATCTGTGTAGCATGAAGGAAGCCAGTGTTTGTTAAAGAGAATTCACCTTATAGTGCCAATAAAATTATGAAAAATATGAACTACTCTATTGTAAAGGAAGGTAAATCAATGTCTGCATGGAGGGTTGGGGAAGCAGAAATATTACAAAATGACTGGAGGTAAATACAGAGTGTGGCAAAAGTAGGTTTAGAGATGTTGGTATTGAAAATAATACACTAGTGAATAACAACACAAATATAAAAACACCTTTAAAAGAAGATCATAAACCAGAGCAGAGGAGAGCACTGACATTGCCGGTTAGTGAATAAGAAACCCCCAAAATGTATCAAAGCACAATGTGAGTTCCACTATGTCCCTGAAAGAGGTAGTACTTCCTAGCTGAGAAGGGGTGCTCTGAAGGAATCCTGGGTCAGGTCCATTTTCTAGTCATAGAGAAATGAATGAAGATACTGCCAAATTCCCTCAAGCAGAAGTGAGAACACAGAATACATTCCCCTGAGCACCCAGGGACTGTGACCGATGCACAATCCTCAGGTGAGCCAGGTGTTAGAGGTGAAATCCCTTCAGAGATAAACACTCACAGTGACATCATTTGGGTCGTAGGTCTAGGCATGTTAGCAAGTACAATGCAGCTCCTTCAAGGTTCACTTGTACCTCAAATTTATGAGGAATCTAGCAGCGTGTATGTTCCCATAAAAGGGGTTTACAGCCGAAACCGGTTTGGCTCAGTGGATAGAGCGTCGGCCTGCAGACTGAAAGGTCCCAGGTTCGATTCCGGTCAAGGGCATGTACCTGGGTTGCGGGCACATCCCCAGTAGGGGGTGTGCAGGAGGCAGCTGATCGATGTTTCTCTCTCATCGATGTTTCTAACTCTCTATCTCTCTCCCTTCCTCTCTGTAAAAAATCAATAAAATATATTTAAAAAAAAAAAGGGGGGGTTACATTCATGGAAATGGTCCTATAGAGCCCCGTAAGTGTTCTTATAAGTGAGAAAAATAAAACATTCCCTGCACATTTAAGGCTTTTCTCCAGTGTGAACTCTGAGGTGTGTAGTGAGGTGAGACCTTTGACTGAAGGACTTGCCACATTCACTACACTCATATGGCTTTTCTCCAGTGTGAACTCTGTGGTGTTTATTGAGGTTAGCTCTTAGACTGAAATGCTTCCCACATTCACTACACTCATATGGCTTTTCTCCAGTGTGAACTCTGTGGTGTTCAGTGAGGGAAGCCCTTTGACTGAAATGCTTCCCACATTCCCTACACTCATATGGCTTTTCTCTAGTGTGAACTCTGTGGTGTTCAGTGAGGTTAGCTCTTCGACTGAAATGCTTCCCACATTCACTACACTCATATGGCTTTTCTCCAGTGTGAACTCTGTGGTGTATAGTGAGGACAGCCCTTTGACTGAAATGCTTCCCACATTCCCTACACTCATATGGCTTTTCTCTAGTGTGAACTCTGTGGTGTTCAGTGAGGTTAGCTCTTCGACTGAAATGCTTCCCACATTCACTACACTCATATGGCTTTTCTCCAGTGTGAACTCTGTGGTGTTCAGTGAGGGAAGCCCTTTGACTGAAATGCTTCCCACATTCACTACACTCATATGGCTTTTCTCCAGTGTGAACTCTGTGGTGCATAGTGAGGTGAGACCTTTTCCTGAAGGACTTCCCACAGTCACTACACTCACACTGCTTTTCTCTAATGTGAACTCTGTTGTGTTTAATGAGAGCAGTACTTTCATTGAAGACCTTCCCATAATCAGTACACTCATAGGGCTTTTCTTCAGTGTAAACTCTCCCATGTTGAGGGTGGTTAAATATTCGTCTACACACTTCCCCACATTTATTATACTCATCAATCATATCTCCAGAGCAGAGACCTTTCTGATAAGCAACTTTCTGTTTCTGGCTGGCAGCTGTTTCACATTCTACCCACTGGTGACGCCTTTTTCCACTGAGAAATTCCTGTGAAATCTCATTGTTACTGTGTGGCTCCTCAGTGTTAAGAGTGGCCTGGTGCTGGAGAAACCCTGAGATGGCTGGGGAGTCTTCCCCAGCCTCTATACTAGCTGCAGGCATCCCAGATAAGTAGAAGCAGCAACTCCTCACAAGCAAGGCACTCTCCATATCTTCTTTCCAGGGCTTCTCTCTACTGGCATCCTTCTGTTGCTGATGAGGGTTTGCACTGAAACACAAGTCTCTCACACACGCATCACTTAAGAACACATTCTTCTCAAAGTGAACCACTTGTAACTCAGTCAGGTGCAAAATATCTTTTAACACTGAGAAGCACAGCTTACACAGATGGGTCCTCTGGGTGGCTGCAGCTGTCTTGGAAGCCCTGACGTGAGAATCTCCTACAGATACACTGTGCTCAGAATAGGCCTCCACATCATCTATTTTATGCCAAGGACCTGAAAACAGAGAAATGATGAGAAATGAATGTTGACTTTGGTGATAGGAGGAAGTCCCATTATAAACGTGGGTTGCTCATACTACATTGGTTTCATGCAACTGGCTGAAAATAAAAGACCTGAAAGATGGATTAATAAGTGGCCCCTGTGTCAGGGTATAGAGCGTTGGCCTGCGGACTGAAAGTTCCCAGGTTCGATTCTAGTCAAGGGCATGTACCTGTGTTGCGGTCACATTCCCAGTTGGAGGTGTGCAGGAAGCAGCTGATTGATGTTTCTCTCACATAAATGTTTCTAACTCTCTATCCCTCTCCCTTTCTTTCTGTAAAAAATCAATAAAATATATATTTAAAAAAAAAATGAGAGGCCACTGTGAAGTACTTGACCACTGAAGATCACAAAACAAAGGAGACTTCAAGAGAAATAGAGCAAAAACATGGCAAGCACCACATGGAAGAGAAGCGGACTGTCCAGCTCATCCTGCTGCCAGCAGCATTCAGTACATCTCCTCTGGTGGTGACATGGGTAAGCTGTGCAGAAGGTTGGTTACATCTCATTCCAAGTAAAACTCAATAAACAAGCAGCTGGTATTTTCGGGATATTTAAGCATGTACACTGAGTGGCCAGATTATTATGACCGGCCAGATTATCATGACCACCCCATCAGTACAATGAAATTAATTAGTTATGCAAATAATAATAATAATAAAACTTTGAGAGTATCTGCTTAGGAAGTTTTCAATATTCAGTATTTTGGAAGCGTCAATGAAGTACTGATGGGGTGGTCATAATAATCTGGCCACTCAGTATATGTGCTCCTTATAACACTTGCACAGGTCCATGTTGTAGTATACTGCAGAAAGAGATGTGCAGAGGAATACGTGATGTAAAAAGGACACAAAGGAGAAGATAGCCAAAGCTAAGAAGTCATTAATGGAATGAGAAGCCAGCAAAGGGTCAAGTATGGAAAGGGAAATGTATAAATGAGGGGTGGCCATTAGAACCGGCACCAAACACCACTGGACAGGAGCAGGTTCCTGGTACAATCTGAACACCATCCTCATGTCATACCTCCCCCCAGTTGACACTCATCCTCTGAGATCATCCTGTACATTCACCCTGGAGAAACCCACGGTTCTCCCTGCACCTCCTTCTCTAGAAATATCTACAAACTAAATATTCTGAGAATCAATGAAAGACAACAGAGTTGAGTGGCCATCACTTGCCCATATCTTTCGGTTTGCAATAATATTCACAGAAGGTAATATTACAAACAACAATGGAAGGAGGGTCTTACAAGAACAGCTCCTGGTTCATGTAAGTAAAGAAGATACCTGGCACAGGCATTCACCATGGTCCTTATCTACAGGAAAGGTGCAGAAGTGGAAGCCATGAATCTGGATATAGTCACCCTCCCTGGGAGAGGAAGAGCAGGAGGGACCCATTAAGCTGTCTGTAAGACTGCTGACACCCTGACATTTCCTGCAGTTTCTGAGGCAACTGGTGTTAGGGAGGTTTATGGAATCTATTGCTCAGGGCTCTCTGCAGAGCTCAGCACTGTCAGCCACAGCCCATTCGACAAGACAGTGGGGGAAATGAGCAGAGCCCATGGTCTTGCTTTGAGAGAGAGAGAGTGCTATGTCTGGAGAATAAATAAAGAGTGGGCATCACTTCAGGACACTAGGAGAGTTGAAGGTCTTACCTACGAATGATACAAGTGTAAACACTTCCAGCATCACATCACAGTACAGACGTCTCTGAGCCTCATCAAGGAGCTCCCACTCCTCCTGAGAGAAGGCAATGGCCACGTCCTCAAAGTTCATATCCTGTCATAATGGAGACAGTACATCCCATGATAAGATTCTCTCTTGAGATGCCAAGTTTATCACACTTCCCACCCTGCACATCCATCTGCTTCCTCTACTCCCCACATCAGAGAAGATAGCAGGCCTTGGTCTCATCAAAGTCAATCTCTCCTTATATTCCTATTGATGCTGTATCTCCCACAACAATAAAGGCAGATGAGCAGTTAGAACATACCTGTGCTCTGATCCTCAAATGTGAGTCACACTGCCCCTTTTCAATAACAGTGGGTGTCAGTAACGTAGGGTAGGAAGAGATGTTGCACATAAAGGGAGTGTGAGTGACTTGACACTGGTCTTGTCAGGCAATACCCATGTTGTCCTCCTATTGTCCCTCTAAGACACCAAAATGGTAATGCCCATTACACTTCCGACTCCAATCCCAGTTTGCTGAGGCCATCACTTTGCATTACCTGCTGCCCATAGTTCTTGGATCCACACTTGTCTCACAGCTTCATTCCCAGAGGCACATCTTCACTAGTGACATGAATAAGCCATCACAAGAACAGGTTGTTTTCTAACCAGCTTCTTTTCTAAAATTCTCGTTCACCACCTCTGTAATGTATTTCTCTCTCAACCTTCTCTGTTCTCCCTTCCCCATGCTGGTGGAGATTTTCAAGTGCAGGTGACACTGATGTATGCTATCCCATTCCTATTGTTCACTGGGTCAGCCCTCAACTAGAAATGACAAGTGGGCACATATATGTCACCTAAGCTCTGGACCTGACATGTAGCACCACATCAGCCCATCTTGTTAGAAATTATCCTAAAATTTCCCATATCATATCATGAAGACACCATCAGAAATGGACTCCCTTTTCATTCACTCATCTGTCAGTGTTAGTGCTGAGGCCATTGTTTTGTACTACCTGCTGCACACAGTTCTTTGAAAAACACTTCTCTCACACAGCTTCGTTCCCAGAGGCACAACTACAAAGGTAACACAAATTTGCCGTGGCGAAGACGGGTTGTTTCCTAATTACCTTACTTTCCAAAATTACAGATTACCACCTCCATCATCCATTTCTCTTTGACCCTGCTCCCTTACCCAGGCTCGTGGAGATTTTCAAGCCCAAGGAACACTGATGAATACTATCTTATTTGTAACCATCAGTATGTCACCCCCCACAACAAAAGGCAGGTAGGTACATAAATGTCATCTTGCAGATAGCCCCAAACACCCCTCCTTTCAGGCAATTACCCTAAAATTACCCTTGTTTTATCATCCAGACTCCACCAGAAATGGACTCTCCCTTCATTCACTCTATGTCAATGTCAGGGTGCTCTGGCTATGAAGTCACATTCCCTCTCCAAGTGCACATCACTCTATCTTCCACACCTCTCTCACACCTGCACTCCTACAGCCCTGGCTCCATAGTGCTCACCCTCTTACTTATTACTTGGCATGTGCGGTCCAGAGAATGCTTCCTAAATTCAAACAGGATCAAGGACTGCCTAGACTCTGATAGTCCACACTCATAGAGGCAGCCTTGAGTCCTGCTATGAAGGCTTCTCTCCATGACTGTTTTTTCCTGCTTCTAAACTATGAAGAACAACAATTAGATTTCAGATACCCAGAGCCCACCTCCCGTGGTGCTGCACTTGATGTCCCTTCACCAGTCACAGACAACATCTCTCCACTTAATTGTTATTCAGTCCCAGCTGCGCTAGCCCTCTATACATGTTTACTGAGTCTCACAGATGACCATTCAAGCCACTAAGCTAATGCACAAGACTGACTGTTATTCCACCAGCTAGGCCACATTGAGGGACCCAACAATAGCCTGGAGAGGGTTTAGAGAAATAAATATGTACCAACCCAATCTCATCTTGTTTGAATTACTCTTTGGCCTCCAATTAATTTCAGGTCCACTCATCTTTTAAAGGCCCTGCCCACTGCAAAACCATTCTCTCTCCCCGACACTCTATATGACACCCCTGTCACTATGCTGTGTTGTGACACCCACCTCCCACCAACAGTGGATCCAGCAGGAAAGCTAGCACTCAGGCTCACACTGTCCCTTCTGAGCTACTACTACCATTACCAACCTGACCATGACTCCCTTCCCTATATTAAAGTGATCTACAGTCCTGGCTGATGTCTGAGATGGTTGAACATAGTCACATGCACTGGTGAGGTCACATGCCTGGGTTGTGGGCTAGAGCCACAGTAGGGGTTGTACAGGCAGCAACTGAT